CAGATTGTTAATAGATCTTCCACCAATCCTGATGCCACACTTCTCCTCATAAAGCCCAGCCTCTCATATAATCCGCTCTGCATACAGGTTGAAAAGGCATGGAGATAGGACACATCCCTGGCATACACCTTTCCCAATTTTGAACCATGCAGTGTTTTCACTGCTCTGTTCTGACGACTGCCTCTTGGTCCAAGTATAGGTTTCACATTAGCATGATCAAGTGTGCTGGGATTCCCATTCTTCTCAGAGTCAGCCACAGTTTGTTGTGATCCACACAGTCAAACACCTTTGCATAATCAATGAAACACAGATAGACATTCTTCTGTTAGAGACCTCTCCAAGTTATTGAAGATTTATGATGTAACTTTGAGGACTAAGGTGTGTCTATTCAGGCCATGTTTTTTCCAATCACTTGTTATGTATCTGAGATCTGGACGATGAATAGGGATGACAGAAAAAAAATTAATGCCTTTGAGCTCTGATGTTGGAGAAGAGCAATGAACATCCCATGGACAGCCGAAAGAACAAATTAGCAGAGTGCTCTTTGGAGGCAAGAATGATGAGGCTTTGTTGCTAGGAGCATGTTGCTAGGAGTATGTTGCTAGGATGGGCTAGTCATTGGAGAAAGACCTCATGCTGTACAGGTAGATGAAGGAGAGGAAGACCTTCGACCAGATGGATAGACACAGTGACTTTTGTAATAGAGTTCAGATCTGTTGTTCATAGTCATAATTGATGACATCTAATAGGAACAACAAAAACAACATCTGGAATAAGGATCTAGGGGATGAGGTAGAAGCAGAGAGATGATGTGCAGGGGGAAGAGGAATTAATCATGGAGTTGTACAATTTGATGGGTTGGGGGAGTGAGCGAAATTGGAGGAATCTGTTCTGGAAAACAGTGTATTCAAATTTTATAAATAGCTAGTACAATTAATAATAAAAAATTTGAATTCTAGTTTGATTTATTATAGATGTATGGATTCCTAAGTTAAATTCCCTTAAGAAATATCTAGACAAGTTTCCATTATCTTATAGTAGCCAGTGTCAATGAGAGAGACATGACGCTAATATGATTCTTATTTCTTTCTTTGTGTGACAGTTAATGTGATGTGTCAACTTGACAAGAATTATTACTGATTTGCCAAATATTAGATTGCTCTTTCATAATGTTGTCAAATGTGTTTGCCTCAATAAAAACACAAGCATTTTTTTAGTAGTCTTTGCTTTCAGCTAGGATACACCTGACATCAGTAATGATATATGGTATTCCTGTGCCATGGCCTCTTCTAAACCCAGCCTGAACTTCTGGCAGTTCTCTGTCAATGTATTCTTCTTGTTATTTTTGGATGACCTTCAGCAGTATTTTGCTTGCATGTTGATATTGTAATTTTCACATTCTGTTGGCTTACCTTTTTGGGGAATGGGAACAAATACAGATCTCTTCCAGCCAGTTGGCTAAGTAGCTGTCTTCCAAATTTCTTGACACAGACTGTTGATTATATCTTGGGCTGTATCTGTTAGAATATGTCAGTTGGTGTCCCATTAATTTCTGGGATCTTGTTTTTTGTCAATGCCTTCAATGCAGCTCAAATTTATTCATTCATCACTGTTGGCTCCTGATCATATGATTGTTGTTGTTGTTGTTATGTGCTGTTGAGTCGTTTGCGACTCATAGCGACCCTATGCACAACAGCCCTAAACCCTGCCTCTGACACACCCCTCCTGATTACCCCAGTCACTGAATTAATCCACCTCATAGAGGGTCTTCCCCTCCTGCGCTGTCCCTCTACCCTACCAAGCATGATGTCCCTCTCCAAGGACCTGTCTCTCCTTACAACA